TACGCTGATGCAGCCTTTCTTCCGGAAATTACGGTATAACTGATTGGTATAGGAAAATATAATTACTTCTGCTTTGAATGCTAAGTTTGTTAGAAAATGCATCTGTTCGAGCTTAAGGATCAAGTGGATGGCTATGAGTGGGTTTGTCACGAGAAAGGTGCTTGAAACTGGCACTCATACTGACACTATTGAGGGCACGTGCAGCTACATCAAGCCCGAGTTTTCACAAGTGGAGACTTCAGTCATCAGATAACATTTTGTATTTCTACTTTGCTGAATTTAATGTGCGTCTCCAATATTGGGATCAGAAGGGAGGATCAACTTTGGGACTACAAGATTTGCACTATGCATGTGCAGTAGTCATCTGACACTGATGATGAGATATAGCCAAGAACACACGACGTGAGTACTTTTGTTATTTTTGCAACATATGCTTTCAGCATTGTTTTGGATGACAGCTATAAAAATTACCAAAAATATCAATGGGTACCCTATTGTAAACTTCTACTACAAACTTTACAAAGAAGGCAACAGTGAACTTTACTACAAAAATTATGATTTATTACACATTTCCCACAAATGATGCAGTTAGTATGATAAAACAATACTTGATAAAATTACTTTTATAAATTTAATTTCTCTATTATGAATTATTCTGGCATAAATAACTTATGAAAATTACTCTCTACAATTTGATATGGGTAGAGTAGACTTTAAGGTACCCCTTGTATTATGGCAAAGTTGCTGTTTGATTTATCGCCAAGTTGCTGTTTTATTTATGGTAGCCTGAGTAGTTGAATGTTATGGAAACCCTACTGTGACGTAATTGGGTGCATGATTCTGGGAAATTTTGAATCATGGAATGTTTTGGCTTGATTCTATAGATGGTAGAATGGCCGAATGTAGTAAGATTAATTTGAAGTTTCTGTACGATTTGGAGCGAAAGCAGAAAAAGAGCTTTATTGAATGGCGTGTAAATGAATGTACTTAGTAGCCATTATAAGTGTCTGTATGTAAGAAAGATATGCGTAAGTCGAATTAAAAAACCATTTAGATGGATTTGAAGGGGTTGTAGGAAGAAAAGTTCAGAGTTACTATGTGAAGCTTCGATCAGAAGAGAACCTGGTTGAAAAAGTTCATTTGAGTATGATTAATTTTGATTTTACGTGGCTCTGGGTTGTACGAAGCGAACTCGAAAATCATGGTAAGTGAATATTTATTTGGTAGTATTAAATGTATAAATGTTTCCTTTTTTATTTATTTATATTTGGTTAAAATGTATCACGAGGATTATGTATTTCTTGTTTGCCTTATGTAGAATTTGGTGCTCCTTGACTTTTAAGTAAAAATATATCGATGTGCACATGGACAAGTAAAGGGAGTGCACAAGCAAGTTTGTGCATTCGGGATTTTTTAAAGTGAAAATAGGTCAACGTGTACATGGATAAGTCAAAGGACGTGCCAATGCCATTTTTGTGCATCGGGATTTTTTTTTTGAAGTGAAAATAAATCGATGTGCATGGATATGAGTTTGTGAAATTGTTTGTCTTGTTAGTTTGGCTTTGTGTAGTGGCGATTTTTGTCGCAAAAATCGCCGCTTCACAAGCCAAAATAACGCGCCAAAGAATTGCACAAAATCAGTATCCATGTACCGCCAAAAATTGCCAAGGGGTACCTTAAACTATACTTTTACCTTTGATATTTATAATAAATATTAGTTTTAGCCATATGTAAATAAGACTACATATATTATATAATGTTTTCGGTTAATCTTCGGATTATGGTAACTTGGCGATTTTTTGGCGACCAACCCTGCTACAGCAACCTGCTAGTTTTTTTTAACGCCATTTTGTTTTTACGAAGTAAAGGCATGTTTTTTTTTACTCAACAGTTTTTTCCAACAATCTGCTAGCCGAATTACGCTTATGCTAGAACTTTTAGGAACAAAAGTGCTTAATCATGATCATGACGAAGATTAGGTGCGAAATTGGGAGAAAGTGCAGAATCGCCCACTGCTTGCTGCGTTTTTAAGAATTGCACATACACAGAATCCATGTACACGTCGACCTATTTTCACTTAAAAAAACATCCCAGAATTGCACAAAAATGGCACTGCACACACTCTTGACTTTATACATGTACACTGCTAAAGTTCTAGCTAGTAACCTTTATCGCCTTACCAAAATGTTGCCAAACTACCTGTTCCCATATTCCAAAGATTAGCCATGTTTTCAACTAAGGAAATACATATACCCTCCACATAAAATATTAGTGTCAATAAAAAAATATCTAAAGAAGTAAATTTCATAATTAAAACCATTAATCATACTTTCACATAAAATTTTGATTTCAATATAAATAAAATTTCATAATGTATAAATTAAAACCTTCATTACGTATTTTCACTCAAGAGCTTCTCTTCAGTATGAGTAATTCTATGTCTCTTCAGATAACGTTCATGAGTGAAACGTTTATTACACATATCACATCCATAAGGCTTTTCACCAGTATGAGTAAATGTGTGCTCCTTAAGATGACCTAATGAGCTACAACATTTCTGACACACTTCACATAAATAAAGTTTTTTTCCTGTATGGATACTTTTATGCCTAATAAGATCCTCTTTAGTACCAAAATTTTCATTACAAAAATCACAATTATACTTTTTCTTGGCATGAATATCATAATGTGCAGTGAGATACGATTTCTTAGTGAAACCTCTGTTGCACAACTCACAAACATAAGGCCTTTCTTTAGTGTGGACGATATTATGTTCCTTCAGACCACGTTTTGTTCTAAAAGCTTTATTACATATCTCACACACATGATGCTTTTCTGTATTATGAATATGCAAGTGGAGATTAAAATTACGTTTTGCCACGAAAGCCTTATTACAGACTTCACATTCAAATCGTTTTTCTCCAGTGTGCATGAGAAGGTGAACATTGAGCTTATGTTTTATCATAAAACTCTTATTACAAATCTCACACACAAAGGGTTTTTCACCAGTATGAATAAGACCATGCATTTTAAGATCATCTTTTGATCGACATGCTTTACTACATACCTCACATACATACGGTTTTTCTCCAGTATGAACACGATAATGCACAGTAAGATTCTTTTTCGTCTTGTAGCCTTTATTGCACAATTCACAAACATATGGTCTTTCATTTGTATGACTACGAATATGCACAATAAGCTGACTTGATGTCATAAATCCTTTACTACACACTTCACATATATAAGGCTTTTGTCCAGTGTGAATTTGACAATGCGAGTTAAGGGAATATTTTGACACAAAACTTATGTTGCATATCTTACAAACATAAGGTGTGACTGATTTATGGGTATGACAATGCATTTTAAGATAATGCTTTGTTGCAAAACCTTTATTACAGACTTTACAGACATAAGGCTTACCTCCAGCATGAATGACAACATGGGCTTCCAGATGACGCTTAGCAACAAAACCTTTACCGCACATTTCACAAACATGTGGTTTTTGGGCAGTATGAATATAACAATGTACATTAAGATCATATTTGGACGTGAAACTTTTATTACACAATTTGCACACATAAGGCTTTATCCCATGAAGGAGATTATGTGCATTTAAGTACTTCAGTTGGATATACTTATCGCATATTTCACATAAATATGTTTCACCATTTGTAATAACAGGACAGGAATGTTTTGCATAATCTACCTCTTCAATGAAATATGTTCTACATTTTTCACAATTGACACCTTTTAATGGAGTAGACATAGCAGAATTGTCTCCTAACACTTCACTTTCATTGACACTTACATCATTTCTATCAGGTAATATTTGTTCTACCATATGACATATATGAGCTTCTAATAAAGATTTATCAGTGAAATTATCTTTACATACCGGGCAAACATGACTAAATTCATTCCTATTATAACAATCATCGGAAGGCATCGATTTGTTACCAGAATCACTTTCTACACAAGGTTGGCTGGGAACGTCAGAAACAGAATCCAAACTCAGATTAGCACAAGCTGATTCACGATACTCGAAATTATTTTGATTCTCATTGGATATGTGTTGCTCTACAGAATGACATCCTTCTGATGAGTAGGTCTCCATTAAAGAAATATGATTAAAACTTTTTTGGCAGTCTTCAGATATCGACGGGCAACCAGAATCACTAGCATTACATGATTGATTTGCTGCATCTGATACTTGATCCATACTCAAATTTCTATCACATGGAGATTCACGAAACTCGGAAGAATTCGGATTTTGACTTGCAGCAAAAAAATTCGACATTTAAAAATAAAGTATCTAACCCACGATCCAAACACTACGAATTATACGGGGTTTATAGACAGCAGAATTTTTGCTACTTATCCATCACTTTACCTTATTTAAGCAAATATATATAACAAAATTGGATCTAAGGTATTACATCATCTGTTATACAGAAAAAAATAACAACTTACACGGAATACACACGAAACACAAAACTACAATCATGAAGTGAAAGTGCAAGTATGCAATATGCTGCCATCAGTTCTTTCCTCAATTCAGTTAAATTTACTAGAGACGAAGCGTCACCCAAGCTGTACAAGGTCCGTAGATGGTAGAACAGGCTAGCTCACTTGAGTCAAGGCCAACTTATAAGTGAGCCTTGACTCAACTTATATAAGTTGGCCTTGCTTGAGTAAACTAGAGCTACTACAGATACCTTTATAGGAGCCTTGGGGTAAACAAACGAAAAGGTAAATAACTCGTTCAGCTGTGATATCACAAACTAGTCGCTCGCAATGGCAATTTCGTCTTCTCTGTGGAGATATTTTCTGTTTTTCGTTGGAGAAATACCTTATAACTCCACATTCGAAACGGCGTCTTATACCGGAAATTCGAATCAGATGATGGAAAGGCGTTCCGATGGCAGCTGATACTTCCAAGCTCCCGGATCCCGAACCTCCTTAACGAACTACATACCAGCTGTACAGGAGGCCACTTTTAATAATGAAGACTTTGTAGAGAGTTTATGAACGCTTCTACTAGAGTAATGCATAGGATGACGTGCAAAAGTGGGGCCGAACTTGCGATGCCTATACAAATCGGAAAGGACCGAAGAAATGCAGCCGAGGCATGTTGCAACGTTACAGTGTAGAAGCACCTTTTTGAGCTTATCGCCTTTAACATCCTAGAACCTGTACCACAAACTGCTGATGGCAACAAATACGTCCTCGTGGTTATCGATTTCTTCACCAAGTGGCCTGAAGCGTGTCGTATTCCTGATCATGAAGCTGTCACAATAACAGAAATAATGATACGACATTGGATTTCCAGGTTCGAAGTGCCTCTTCAGTATGATTTCGTTCAAGGACAAAAATTTGCATACGCTGTCATTAATGAACTCAGCAAGTTAGTTGGCATTGACAAAGCGCAAACTACGCCATTACATTCCCAGTCAGAATGCTAGAGATGTTTAATCGAACTATCGTTAATAACCTTTCGTTGGTGGTTTCCAGAAATAAAAAGGACTCGGGCAAGAAGTTACCTCTACTTTTACTGGCTTATCGCAGTGTTGTCCACGAGACTACCAGCTAAGATCTCCAGGCCCGGTTTGAAGTGATGCGGAAGTTTAAGCGAGAGCGAGTCAACTTGGCGACGGAGAAGATGAAGACGCGATACGACACGAGAGCTACAGGACATCGATTGAATGAAGGAGACAAGATGTGGTTGGGGAATTCCAATTCGACGGAAAGGACTCTGTTCAGAACTACAGTCACCCTGGGATCTTCGATACGATAAGAGCAAAGGGTTGGCCAGATATAACTCTAGCCAACGCTACATTTTCTACCTTCATACAAGATTGGAAAGTTAAAGACTTCGAAACAATAAGCAATCATAGAGCAATCACTTTCAGTCTACTTCTCGCCTTTCAGCTATCAATAAAATTCGCTTTAAAACAATCTTTGGAGGCCTTGCTAAACTAAAACGACTTCTTTCTCCATCCTTGGATTTACTCAATAATAGCTTAAAAAATTGCGATTCCCCTTTGGCTTTGGATGATGTTTACGACTTAATGATTAGAAAAATGCAACAGGCCTGCATCCAAACGTTTGCGATGCGTAAATTTAATTCACGCGTTCAAGTCACCTGGTGGAATGATACTTTGGCAACTGAACGCCGTAATCTTAGAAGTTGAGAAGACAAGCACAGAGAATCACAGACCCAGGACAAAGACGTACAGCTTTTATTAATTACAAACGACATCAGACTGATTATAAAAGGAAAATCAAAGAGGCCAAAAATACTTTCAGGCGCAAATATTGCTCCCAACAAATGATACACTTGGAACAGTTTTCAAAATTGCAACTAACAGGGTTTTCCATCAACGACACTATCAGCTGGAATTTTATCATATGCCACCTCCTCAGCAGAAATAGTCAGCGACATCCTAACGACACTATTTCAGGAAGATTTGCCCTCTGAAGATACGATGCACCATTCCAATCTACGTGATTCTTTCAACGATTATACTCAAAAGTTCATCCGGTCTACAGCCTACTTTGCAAGAGTTATCAAGAATTATTAAGAATTTAAACTTACGGAAAGCCCAGGACCAGATGGCCTAGACAATGTCATTATACGAATGCTCTTTCAGATAGACCCAGATATACTGTATAACATCATTCAGGCGTGCTGGTGTCTCAGACACTTTCCTATCTACTCCAAGAGAGCAGAAGTTTCCTATTTCCAAAGCAAGCTAAAGACTTGTTCGAGCCTAGATCTTACAGACCTATCTGCTTGATCCTGCTCTGGGTAAATTACTTGAACGAATGGTCCTAGGTTTATTTAACCACTTTCTAACAGCCAATAATATTCTTAGTGACTCTGAATACGGATTTCAAAAAGGTAAATCAACGGAAATGTCTATCGCGCGTCTTGTTTCATCTATTCAAGAAAATAGATTGGATAATCAGCACTCTCTCCTAATTAGTCCAGATATACAGAGTGCTTTGAATTCCCTCTGGCGGCCAGACATCATCGATGCTCTGGTCACCATGGAATGCCCCACTTCCATTATTGATTTAATTCCCCGAAGCTATTTACAGGATCGAATGGTTCAAGGTCATCCTGGACTCTGAGATCGTAACTCATCCTTTACATAAGGGTTGTCCGTAAGGCTCAAGCCTTGGTCCGGTACTTTGGACTATTGTAGCTGAATCTTTGCTGAAAAAAACTGAAGAATTCATTAAATTACAAGACTATAGCATTATGCTGATGATTTTTTGCTACTGATCAAAGGTTGGTTCAACTGCACAGTTAAATTTAAACATTGTAGCGGATTGGGCAAGAAGACATAAAATAATAATTTCAGCTTCCAAATCAAAGGTCCTTCTAATTGCAGGGCGGGGTACTCTGCGAAGAAACCCTTCTTTACAATTTCAAGGGAACTCAATTCAATTTGTTACCAATTTAAAGTAGCTTCGTGTTATCTTAAACAATATGCTTTTATGGATTCCACATTTAAGACATATGAAATATAAAGTAGACATTCTTAATCAGCATATGAGAAGAACGACAGCAAAATCATGGGGGATCTCGACTAAAATTCTAAGAATCTGGTACTTAACAGTTATAAAAAAATTATACTATACTGTTCCGGTGTTTGGGCCAACTTTTTAACACAGCATGAGCGAAGACTCTGGTGGACATGCAGAGGACATTTCCCCTACAAATTTGTAAGGGATACAAAACAACATCAACCCAAGCTCTTCTAGTATTGACAGGCATCCCTCCTCTTGACCTTGTGGCGGAAAGAGAGGTTCTCATAACAAAAATTTTACGTCTTCGCATTCACGGTTCTCTGTGGAATCACCGATATTACTCAGTCGACTATGAATATAAACCTTCTCAATTGCTTTGCCATCCAGCAGAAAATAATATAACAGAGTTTATTGCCACACACCCTATTCACTTGCCTTCTGACTTTCCAGTAAAAATTTTCACAGATGGCTCTCGCACTCCAACGGGTACTGGCAGTTGCTTATGTATTTTCTACGAAAATTCCTTAATCCACACTTGGAGACGTAGGCTACTATTAATAATTCTATTTACCAAACGGAACTGATTGCTGTTAAAAAGGGAATTCTTCTGGCTACAAAATTCAATCCTTCTCCACTGATTTGTACGTATTCTCTGTCCAGCTTAGAAGCCTTACGAAATGATAAATCAGACAGTCCTTTGGTCTTCGACATACAGCGAATCATCCTCTCTCTTTCTTCAAATAAAAGACCTTTTATCAGCTGGGTGCCGGGTCACAGTGGGATTGTGCTTGCGAATACGAATTTCCCAGGCAATTTCACCTTAAAAAACCTTCTATTGCTTATTGGCAACATTGGACTTGACAATTTTTAAAAAGCAATATTGCCATCAACAAACTCTCACAAATCATAAGTATTTGCAATAGTCGCTTCACTTTCCCAACTGAACGCAAAATAGCATCTAAATTATGTCAACATCTTTGGTGAAACTTAATATTAAGACAGTTGTTCTTCAGAACTTATTGTTGAGTTGCATTATACAACTGAACAATAAGTTCACCGTGAATTGTTTGAAACCAACTGGAATTATCTAGCCTTAAATCAAAATGTAGTAGTGACAATCTGTTTATTAAAACTGTAATGCCACATTTACATATTCTTAGTACTACAAACATGACAAGTATGCTGAATGGTACTGTATAACACGGTAAACTATAGCAAGAAATATTCTTTCTTGTACCGCAAGCAAATGCACAGCGCATTGGAATTTGTTTTGTATAATACATAGCAAATAATTTGGCACATGGCTATGAACAGAATGATTTAGGATTACTTTAATTATAATGTATGTGACATATCAATTAGTTAAAGGTGTAATTTATGAATATTATAAATTGAATGTAATATGTTTTGTTTAGTACGTGATTTACTATACGGATAGTTTCCTGTAATGCTTAGCTATTGTTGAGTATTGTAGATCCTCTTTTAAGGTTACCGCATTTTGTAAAAGACTAGTATTGGAACTAGTTTTGTAAACTGTACTGATCTTTACAGAATCCAGCAAAGAATGCGTTTCTTTTAGTATTGCAAGTGGTAAAGACTGTTGTAAATAGTATAGTCTAATGCAATGCCCTGTGTAATGAATGTCCTGAATTAAGTTCAATATATGACATATAATGCTGCGCAAAGTACTTTTTACTAGTGATACTAGTAAGTATTATTATACAGAAAAATGATTAGCAGTATATATATTTCACCTTTTATTGAGTAAGGCATAAACTTCACTGTTGCATACAGAGTTCAAAGAGCTTATTCTGCGGAATGGCAATACTATTGTTTCTGTGCTAAGCTGTTAATTAATAGTACCTCAGGATGCATTCTATGTAACACAGCATGTTCTAAAGTGTGTTACACACAATTAATCATCTTTATTTTTATTATTGAAACTTTTGTTGC